TAATAGTATAGGCTAAATTTCGGGCCCGGGCCCAGGCTCGGGCTTCGGGCTTTTTATGAGGGCCGGGCTCGGGCCCAAGTTGTAGGCCCGATGGTCGGGCTCGGGCCTTAAAAAATTTGTTAATACACAGTAAAAGCCCAGTCCGAGCCCAGCCCGTCCCGGCCCATGAACAAGTCTACTCGTCACCTAATATGCAACTCGGCCCTCTGGTCAGCTCAGCACTCTGGTCAACTCGACACCTAATAGGCTGCTTGGCACTTTGATCAGCTCGACACCTAATAGGCAGCTCGGCCCTCTGGTCAGCTCGTCACCTAATATGCAGCTCGGCCCTCGGGTCCGCTCGTCACCTAATATGTAGCTCGACCCAGTCAGTTCGGTACCTAACCTACCCAACTCGGCCCTGTTAGTTCGGCACCTAACCTGTCCAGCTCGGCACCTAATCTGCCCCCAGCTCGGCCTGGTTAACCCGGCATCCAGGTCCTCATCCATCAAAAGTTCTCCACTTCAGCCTCTGAGTCATCGACCACTTGAAAACAGACCAAATGACGAGGTACTTAGCTAGAAAACTGATACTTCACGAAAAATTGATACATCAAACACCAATGCATGCTTGATGTAATCAGCAAAATTCTTCAAATTTGGCAACTCAACTTTCAGCCTTAAATTAGAGGTGATCATGAGTCAGGCTGAGCTAGGCTTTGCACATTTGATATTGGCTCGTGCTTGGTTTCAAGCTAATAGCTTTTATGTATAAAATATTAAATATATAATATTTTATATTATGTCATATAATGTGTATAAAATGTATTTTATACATTATATAATATAAAACATTAAAAAATATATATCAAGATCAAAATATCAATATGCTTGATATGCGAATAAAGGCATACTGGGCAGTATTGGTAGGTTTTTTTATTTTTTATTTTTAGTTTTTTCCGAATCTGGTTCAGAGGGGCTGGTTTAAACTTTAAAGTTCGTCCACCCTCTGAACTGGTCAAGACCCCAAAACACCCTCTATAGGGGTGTATCAAAAATCTCCCGATACAATACATATCGATATTTTGAACCTTGATATATATTATAGTGTCATGTTATAATATCTATACTATTATAAAATCGTATACTTGTGTTGGTTTTGTGCATGTCACAAAAGCTAAATTCGATTATATAATATTAACTCATATCTACCTTTTCCTTTTACTTGCACGCATGCAATATACCCTAACACTAATTTATACATCAAATAACATACACACACACACTAGTTTCTACATAATGTGTGTCTATAGTATAAAGCATGTATTTTATCAATAAAAAATGTATAATTATTTCTTAGATGTAATATATATATATCTTATTTTTATGTTTAATTCATATTTTTTAATTAATTTTTTTATTTATAAAATGCTAAAAATTGTGATTTGAGATCTAAAAATAGGTTTTTTTTTTATGAAAATAGTAGGACAAGGTTAGTCTTCAGAAGTTTATACATACATTAAGCCCCGTTCACTTTTTGGTAAGTTATTTACCCGGGTAAGGAAACATTTACCTAGGTAAGTGTATTTACCCATGTTGTTTTATTTTCTAAGTAAAAAAAAAAAAAGAAATGACCATTTTAGTCATAAAAATCTACTAGTAAAAGGGACATTTTTATGCCATTCAAGTGTTGGAAGCTTTCCCTAAGTAGGAAGATTATTTACCCACCTAGAAGATCGGTAACTCGTGAGCAAATGACAGATTTCATATTAAATCAAATCCGAAATCTTAACTCGTGACAATTTAAACGGTTCAACCAGCGAGGTGAATGATAGAATGAAAACACTAGAGAAAACAAAAACAAGGTTAAATATGAAGCAAACGTAAGCAAAAGTAAGCCACTCTAACTCGTTGGAGGTGGAGAAGGTGGAGAGCTGACATCAAATCCCACTGCGCCAAGATGTGAAGGGGATTGAGGGGAGGGGGAGGGTGATGGGCTTTTCCAAAAGATAAGGCACATTCCCTTTTGGCGTTTTCCAAAAGATGAGATGGCCGATGGGACTGGATCGAATCACTCCCCAGTCTGGACAAAGGGCACCTTTTTGCTTAGAATATCAATAAAAAATAATATTTTTATAAAATAGTCAAAATAAGGTATTTTTTTTAAAATATCAAAGACAATAATACTGTTCATCGTCTTCCTCTGCTAGAAATCTTATATAGAACCCCTCTTAGCTTGAGTCTCAAAGAAGAAAAAAAGAAATTAAAATAATCAATTTGCTTCTCCTTGTTCCTCCCTCTAGCTGCCGAAACAGAGATAAACCCAGCCAATCTTCGAGGAAAGGAAGAACACCCCAATGGTGACGTCAGAGAGAGACCCTACTTCCCAGTTAGCGTTGCCGCCGGGCTTCCGGTTTTATCCGACGGATGAGAAGTTATTGGGCCTGACTTATCTTTTACCTTTTCAACAGCGTCCATCTATCTCAATAAACCCTCCTAATATCTATTTTCACCTCTTAGCACCGCCCGCTTTGATGTGTTCCAGACCCTTTATATTCAATCAATTCATCAGGTTTTTGTAATTTGAAATTCTTTCTTCACTCGGCCAGTTTGGATTGGTTCTTACTTGGCTATTAGAATGGATAATTCTATTTACCAAAACCTTGATGGATTACTTTCTTTCTGATGGGATCAGATCCGGGGTATTTGGATGAATACAGGGTAGAGAAAGAAGATAAACAGTATCATTCCGCTTGTTTGAGTTAGAAACCCTTTGATATCATCTGCATTAATTACCAATAAAGTATTTGCCTCCTGCCCAGGAGATCCGGACACACTTCGGTGGAAAGCAGTGGATGGATCCCCACAACTCATTAAGAGAATAATTAAAGCCATTAACTTCTTTATATTTTCTCACATCTACTCTGACTATGATGGCAGCACTCCTTGCGACCCTCCAATGAAAGCATGAAACACGCGAACTGCGGTTCAAGCCACGCCAACTGATTTTTATTTTTATTTACAAAATCAATTGCTAGACTGTCCATCTTTAATTGGAGTGCATCATGGGAGTCATGCGACCACGGTCGTAGCACATGTGCTCTCAAGATGAACCTACCTCTTCTCAAGATCTTGAGAAGAGAACAGATTCAAGAGATGGTGTCAATTACGCATCAAATAAGGAAAAAGAATATGAGATTCATTAGAAACACATGAAACAGGGAAGAAGAAGAAGAAGAAGAAGGTGCACGGGTGTGGTGTACCTTTGGTGTGCTACGAGCATTTTGGAGTAGCCTCCATAGGTGATGCTTCCATCCCAGAAAATGCCATTATAAACAAACTGAACTTTGTCACAGTAATTCTCCTGAGATTCCTTGCAGAACTCACAATCCAGGCACGACGCTGCAATGCATCCCACACCGACTCGGTCCCCCATCTTGAAACGCGTCACGTTACTCCCCACCTTGGTTATCACACCGGTAATTTCATGTCTGCGTGCCGTAAACTTTTATTTTTTAGAAACACAGCTGATCGACAAAAGGATTTGAGCAAATGAACAATAGTGAAAGGAGAAGAAGAGAAAAGATTTACCCAGGGACCACAGGATACATGGTGATCCCCCAGTCATTCCTCACATGGTGCAGGTCAGTGTGGCACATTCCGCAGTACAGGATTTCAATCGTAACGTCATCAACGCCATTTTCCCTGAACAATTTAATTTATCAATTTGTTTAACAACGGTTCAGAGAGTTGATGGATGATGGCACTGGTTATGTGCCTATGGGCCATGGCCGTGTGTGACTGTGTGGGAGAGAGGAACAGACTACCGAAAAACAGAGCTTTTCAACTGAAATAACCAAAAAATATACATATAAGAGAAAGATTGCTACTTTTTTCTTTTCTATTACCTTCGCTTGAATGTAAAGGGAGTTATCTTGCCAGAGGAGTCGTGAGCTGCCCATCCAAAGACAGTTTGAGTGTGGTTTGGGGTAGTTTGAGCCATTCTTTGGACAGAGAGAGCAGCAGCACAAACAATCAGGAACGATGCAGTTGGCCCCAACGTCTCCTTCCTTCCAGCTTTTAATAACAATAACAAATTAATATCGATAATATCGATGGAGTAGTTGGCCCATCCCACCAAATAAGAAGTAGTGAGTACTGATCGGAGTTGGTATATAGTCTGAGTCCGGATCTCCTCCCAAGTCTCAACAAAAAAACCGTTCAAACACCTTTTAACATGATTTATTTCCACACATCTGATACATGGTGGGTTTCAGTAAATTTGAGAACACAGAGTCACAGATCATGTTTTCATGCGGAAACAGTTTTTGTAATTCCAACTCAGGTAGTCTTTTGTTCCCTGTTTTAATTGACCAATTCACACTCATATAGATATACTTTTATTACATAGTGAAAAGGAAAACTTACAGGACATAAGCCTTTGATTAGTGTGGGACCTGTGGGTTGGGTTGCTCCCGATGGATACATGAAGGTACCAGCCAACCCATTTTAATCGCCATTATATTATATTTAGGGATTTTTCGACTGCAATCCGTAGATTTAACATCAATCCATGATTAGGATTCATTCTGCCCCCCCTAGAGTGGATTAGGGAGTTCTAGATTTTTAGGGGTTGGATTGGACCGTAAAAACCCTTTGTATTTATGCAATGGGGTCCCAGTCGCTAAAGTCTTGGAAGGGGTAATTGATTAGTAGTCTTGGGTTCCACTTGCTCTAGATTTTTTTGCACAAAGTAGCTTGTCTCGGACTCAAATCCGGATTTCCTGTCCACTATTCTCTACCCACACTCTATCTGCCATGAATTGCAGTGTCACACATCACTATCTTGTATTGTGTGAGATGCAGGCTGCAATATATAGTGGGTAGTGCATCAGTAGAAAAAGTGAGTAGAAAATCTGGATTGCTACATGATGACCAATAAAATCAGATTTATAATTTATGCCCTATTCACTTATAAGTGTTTTCTAGGAAAGACTTATTTGGTCAAGTACATTTACCCATGTTATTGTATTTTCCATGTAAATAAGGCAATGACAATCTTAGTCATACAAATTCCATTATTAAAAAGGTATTTTTGTCCCATCCAAGTATTGGCAACTTTTTTCTCGAGTTTCACTTTATCAAAAATTTCCCCTGAACTTTTAAAAAACCTAATACATACCTCCCTTCCGTCACTAATCCATAAAGAAAATGCTTGATTTACGGATTATTTTATTAAAATACCCATTTTACCCTTCAATAAATGATTTTACATGAAATTTTACTAAAATAAACTTTTACTTAGAATCATCAATTTCGGTCCTCTTTCCCCTTTTTCAATTTTCGACCCCTGAAACTCATCGAATAAAAAACAGAGGCAGCACTTAGCTGCAATAGGCTTTTCCACTCAAACTTACTCCGAGTGACAAAGGGAGACAAAATTCGTGATTCACCCACGAGAGGACGCAGAGGCAAATTTTATCAGATTTTTATCTCGATAGACAGAAAAAGCCTTTTAATTTTCTAAACACCATTGTGTTATAATACTTCTCATGCATCTCTCTTATAGTCTCCCTTATGAGTTGTCTCTTGGGGATTTATAAAGACTATACTTAAGGAGAGGAAAGGAGATGTAACGTGCTCAGATGAGAAGAGAAGGAAAATGAGAAAATGAAGTAAATTGGGAGGAGAGAGAGAGAGATGCATATAGAAGTACCTTGATTAGTGGGTTTAGGGTAGGAGTAGTCATTGTTGAAAAGAAAAATGTTGGAGGGCATAGGAATGTTAGCGGTTAGAGAGTAAGAAAATTGGAAGGGCCAGAGAGCGAGATCTATACTTGGAGTCAGAGGTTAGAATGAGGCTATAGAGAGACAGTTGGGCAGACCCAACATTGAGTCCCTGTTCCATAAAAAGATTGAATTCCTATTTTACTCATCCCCTATATGTAAATACAGAGATAAGAAAGGGCTGAGTAGTTGTCGCCATTGTGATCTCCCCAATTTGTACTTTATCCACATCCACTCGGCCATGGCTTCCGACTTCAAGGCCATAAAGAGAGAGAGAGAGAAGAAACAGTAGAGAAAATACTTGGCTTCTTAGAAATGCACGCAAAACCCTTCTACCGGTTCTAGGGGTGGCAATGAGCTGAGCTATTTACGATCTACTCGAGTTCGGCTTGACTCAATTTCAATCGAGCTCGAGCTTGAGCCCAATTTACAGGCTCGATTAAGCCGAGCTCAAACTTAATAGAGCTCGGCTCGCGAGCCAAGCTTGAGCCTATATATGTATATATATTATAATTCTTAATTTTCTAAATATCAAATAAAAAATATTTTTATATGTAATTTTTTATTCTTATAAAATATTTTTCCTCAAATCAAACTCGAGCTTAAGCTCAATATTCTAGCTCGAGCTCAAGCCTCATACTATTCGGCTTGGCTCAACTCGAAACCACCCCTAACCAATTCATCTGAAAACTCATTGCTATTAAGTACCCTTTTAAAGGTTGTTGCAAGCTTATTGGCCGGAGATATTCTTCGATGAATGGGATATTCAAATAGATGGTGCCGCTGCAAATGATATTTTCTACTATTTAGGGTTTGAAGTTTACTCTAAAAGATGAATTAGTTCACTATTCTAAACTAGTAAAGCTGAGTGAATAAAGTTGGATTAGTTTACTATTCTAAACTAGTAAAGTGGAGTGAGTAAAGATGGATTAGTTTACTATTCTAAACTAGTAAAGTTGAGTGAATCGAGTGAAAAACATATTTTGTCATTTTAAAAATATCTTGAAGATGCCCTCACTATTAAGTGAGGGGCAGTTTCATAACTTGGACAATTTTTCGTATGAGTCATTGATGAAAGGAAGGTAAGTGTTAGATTTCTCAAAACATTAAAGGAGGATTTTGTTAAAATAAAACTTTAGAAGAGGTTTTTATAATTGTCAAAAATTTCAGGGGAGTTTTTGAATTTTACCCTAAAATAAAAGAAGAAATAGAAAGTTCTCATTAATTAGCAAAGGATTGATGGTTGTACATATCTATCTGTATTGGCTGTGGTCATTATTAACTGAGTGTTATGTCAAAGGAAAACGGTCCTCATTAATTAATAAGGGACACATACACCTCGATGCGTCAATTTTCCATATGAAATTATGAATATTGACTTAAGCATGCATTTCATCTCATCTACAATTATAAAATATCAAAAAAAAAAACAAAATGTAGGTCGTTGCACTTATTATCATTTTCAAGTTTTTCAAGCTGTTTGGAAGTGATTCTTTTAAGCGGTTATTTGGGTAAAAACGCATAAAAGATTTTCAAAAGGCAAGGTTAAAAATTTTGACATGATACGTTCAATACGGGGCGAATCATATTGTATCTTTGAAAAACAGATACGAGATATACTTGGAAATCAGGCATCTCATCTTTTTTCATGCGTATCAGACCCATACCGGATCGTATCGGGGGAGTATCGGTAGCATATCAACAAAAAAGATGCAACCAAAAACTGGAAAAAAAAAGGGGAAAGCAATATTCTTTTTCCTAAAATAAGCCTTATTTCTCCCTCAAATGACTCTAAAGCTCCTAACCTCATTCCTAGAGTGCTAGATTTGCAAAAAAAAAAATTGCAAGAAACAAGTGTGAATCGTTATTTTTTTTTTTAAGATTTTTCAAATTTTGAAAAGATATGGCAAAAATAGGTAACTTTTTTTTTATTTTTATAATATCTTGTTATTTCTTTTTTTTCTTGAATATTTAAATTTATGTTGATCTACATTTCTTACATTCAAAATCAAATTTTTTTTGCGTTATCAGTAGATTTATGGAAATTTCAAGAAAATATTTGGGGAAAATATAAATTAACAAAAAATTTGAAAATGTAATTTTTTTCTCTGCCTATAAAGACTAAATATGTTTTAGATCTATAGATTTATCTATCATATCCATAGAGCAATTGGAAATTCTTCTTTAATATTTATTTTTTATTTTTTATATTTTCAAAATAAAAAAATAAAATATAATTATATATATTTTTATCATTTGATCACAACAATCGAATATATTATAATTCTATGGATTATCTATCATATCCACTGACCTATTGAAATTTCTTCTTTAATAATATTTTTTATTTTTATATTTTTTAGAATTAAAAAATAATTAATTAATTATATTTTATCATTTGATCACAATATTGAATATATTATAATTGTATGGATAATCTATCATATCCACAAAGACTTTAATAACTAATTTTTTGAATATATTATATAATGTTTATTTATTTTTTATAACTTCTAAAAATAAATAATAAATAAAAATTATTTAAATATTTATTAATTATATTTTCACTTAAAAGTTGTGCCAATGCATATCTTGTGTTGTACATGATTGTCATATCAGGAGATGTTCCTGATGTACGACTGCAAAGTCGATAGCATACTTGTGGGTAGCAAAGCAAAGCCAAGCCTGGGGAGGCTGTGATATGCAAGCCAAACAAGTATTAATTTTCAGCATATGTTTTAATATATACATTTTCAATATTGTTTGAATTAAGGGAAGAACTAAAGCCATTAGGCTAATTCCATTCCAATCAGCAATCAGCAGATAAAATTACAAATCTTCCCCAATCAAATGTAAAGTAGGATGGTGTAAAGAAGGCCAAAAGGAAGTCTTAGCCAATAGCCCACGAAGCTATGGTATGAGCACCTTGTAACAATTTGGAAAAAAGAAAGAAAACGACCTTGGTAACATGGCCTATACTATTCAATCACTCAATCTCTCACTTAACATTTATGGCTATACTGAAGTATTGTCATTGGTTCCATAACCCACTACACAGCTAGCTAGCTAGCCATACAACCCATTCAGAAAAACCAAATTCATTTCCACTAACGCTGGACAAGCAATAATAAATCTTGTTTTCTTAACCGCAGGATCAATGATTTTGCTTCATGCCAGCCATGAAGTGCATATAGTGAACAACCACTCAATCTCTCACACTTATGACTGCCTGGGAGAAAAATGATTGATCCCACAGCCCGATTAAACAGCTAAATCTCTAACACTTATGGCTGTCGGGGTGAAAAATGATTGATCCCACAGCCCGATTAAACAGCTAAATCTCTCACACTTGTGGCTGTCGGGGAGAAAAATTGATTGATCCCACAGCCCGGTTAAACAGCTATTAAATTCAGATAATCTGATCTCAAACGGATAGTGTGAGAGACTTAAAATTAAATAACAACAAGATATAAATTATCACCGAGTATAATGCCGTTGCGGTCCCGGAGTTTCCATGAGCAGTTAAAATCAGCTATAGAGGTTAAT